CATAAACAATGTGATTCCGACAAAGAGAAAGAAATTGAGATAGCCTCAAAGCTTAGCGAAACTCAATTAAAATAATCCGAGTCCTGTTGCTAAACTCAATCTGGGAAGGTTTGTTGCTTTTTGGTAGGAACCTTGTCTCTGTTGCCACCGTAGAATGAGGGGCGTTTCATGAGGAATCTGTTTTTTTTTCTGTACGTCCGGTGACTAATTCAGGTCAATTTAATTCTGAGGGAAAGTCAGACCTACGTTTTGCATTTTACCACAGTTCTTTGAGAGGAAGCTTAACTCTACTTTATTTATTTTCCATTTTCTAATTAATTAGGGATCTGCCGATACCGAAATGGATACTGACATATCGGCGATATCGGCCTAGTTTGCCTATATATGAATTGGCCGATACCAATCATAAGGTTAAGATTAACGAGACTGATTTGAGAAAATACGGAAGTTGAACAAGGTATACGAGGTTAAAAACACTGTTTTTATCTTAAATTTTTTGATGGGAATAGACTAACATAGTTATATTAGTCTATTCCTAGGGAGTGATAAGTTCGACTTTCCTTTCCGATTATTATTTTGTTCGAATGGTAAATATAATATGAAAAGATATTTAAGGCCCGTATCGTCAGTCGTCCCTACAATTGTAGGGCGCGTTTATGGCCTCCTTGATTGTCATACTCTTTTCTCTTCTTCAAAAATTTCTAGATTACACTTGTCCCGTGTCAGCGTCAGCGCTCTCCTATTGTAAAGATATGTTTTCTTTTTAAATTGTAGAAAATTTCAGGCTGATAAAACATGATATAACTCAAAAGCAATATTGTCATAGTTTTCTACTTCACCGTGTCAGCGCTCTATGTTGAGGTTATGTCACAAACATCAATTTGCATCAAATTGTGATTGGTTTTGAGTTATATCATGTTTTATCAGCCTGAAATTTCCTACAATTTAAAAGGAAAACAAATCTTCACAATAGGAGAGCGCTGACGCTGACATGGATCAAGTGTAATCTAGAAATTTTTGAAGGAGAGAAAGGAGTATGACAATCAAGGAGGCCATAAACGCGCCCTACAATTGTAGGGTCGACTGACGATAGAGGCCTAAGACGAGTGATGTACATGACACTTATGTCTTATCTTTGTCGGTCTTTTTGTCAAAATTTCATGGTAAGCCATAAAAGATATTGAGAGAAGTTACATTTTGCCTCTTAAAAACCAGCAAGTACAATTTTCCGACATTTTTCCGTGGACACATAATGTTTTGTATTTTCACCTTGTAGATTGAAAGCAATATAAATTTTATGAATCTTCCGCCACTGTTCGATTATGATGCATCTTCAAAGATGTTACAAAAACGTTATTTACCTCTTGAAGAGCTTGAAAATACCTTCATGATTCATTCAATATTTTTGAAGCAGTTTGAGTTGAAAAATATCTGAGCCATTAAAAAGTAAACATTTATGTATGTATATTTCTTGATATGTTATTAAATGACTATTAAAACTTTTTAACAGGTTGGTAAATTTCCACACATAATGTCTTCATGAATTTCCGTTTCAATTCGATATGTAATCGTAAAACTAGAAAAAAGAAACTGTACAATTTTTTAGGCTCAGCATCTCTCCCTAGTTTGTAACGTTGTTAACGTGTTTTGCGGATGAAGTCAAGTCATCGTTGGTTGTCAGAGCGGTCCGTGGGACCTTAGCTCTTGAGTCACAGTGTCAGTTTGTAACTCTGTCAGGTCTGGTATCCCAGAAACCAGACAATTTTAAGGAAAAAAGGGAAGGAAAGGAGAGAAGGAAGATCGAGAGCAAAGGGGAAGAAGAGAATCTTTTAGGATAGGGATCGTTTAGGCATTGTTAAAATCACTTCACAAATTTTGATATGGTCTAAAAATATTGGATTTTTCTAAAGATGTTGTCAAAATACTCCAATTATGGTTGTTCTAAGTTCACTAATTAATTATGATTACAGTGCGAGCCGCGGCCTTTTGTGCTTGCGAACTTTCTCGACTGTGTAATCCACTGGCTCACACAACAGAGGGTTGCTGTGCGATTCTGCTAGGCTATAGCGCCGCTGCGCCTGTTGCTTAATGTAGTCCTTTAGGTAAGAGACATCGAGGTCTCTATGTAGAGTTTCGTTAGAGACAGACCATGGGGCGTCAGCAATAGTGCGCAACATGATGCTTTGCAGAACCTGCAGATTTCGCATGTGTGTTTTAGCAATAGAACACCAAGCCGCACATGCGTAAGTCATTGCTGGTCTTATGACCACCTTATAGAGTCGAATCTTGTTAATTAAACTTAATTTTGAACGTTTACATAATAATGGGTACAGCTGTCGAAACTTAACTTGGAATTTAGTTTTTAGCTCTTCTATATGGTTCGGCCAAGTCATCCCTGTGTCCAGAATGAGACCGAGATACTTCGCGGAGGATTCCCATGGTATACGAAGTCCATTCATTGAAACTTCAGACGGAACGCCGCGACGTCTTTTTGTACAGTAAATTGCCTGCGTTTTCGAATGATTAATTTTAATTAGCCACCGATCCGCCCAATCTAATACTTCCTCCACCGCACTTTGCAGCCTGTCATGGACTAGGTCACCAGACCACGACTGAGCCACCAATGCAGTATCGTCAGCATAGAGATAGACTTCACAGTGGCTGGGACTAGGGACGTCATGGATTTACAGTGAGCAAAGGAATGGTCCAAGGACCGAACCCTGAGGGACGCCGGCTGTAAGCAGCCGTGTTGTCGGCAGGACATTGTCAATTTTGATTCGAAATTTTCTACCTTCAAGGAAGGATTTCAGTAGTTTTAGAAGCCAAAAAGAGAAGCCCTTTTGGATTAGTTTATACAGCAGGCCCGCGTGCCACACCTTGTCAAATGCTTTTGAGACATCCAAAAGCAAGATGCCAGTACTTTCGTTAAGGGTGAATCCTCTGGTTACTCGTTCCACCTGCCTAACCGCCTGTAGCTCTGTACTATGTTCAGACCGAAAACCGAATTGCACGTCAGGCATCACATGGTGATATGACGATAAATTCGCAAGGTAACGTAGAATTACCTTTTCAGCGAGCTTAGACGGAGCTGACAGCAGGCTAATGGGACGATAATCCTGGGGAAATATCGAATCCACCTTCTTGGGAATCATTATAACTTCGGCGGTCTTCCACGCGGATGGGAAGTACTGGATCCTTTGTATGGCATTGACTATTGCCACGAGATAAGTTAAGGACTTCCGCGAAAGCAGCTTCAGCGCCTTATTAGTGATTTGATCCTTCCCAGGTGCTTTACGCACTTTAAGGTCTTTAATATGACCTTGAATCTCTGCTGGTCTGCAATGCGGGATCTCGGGCGATGCCGCTGATATGCTAAGCAGATCTTCGGTTGAAGAAGCTTCTGAAGAAGAATCTTCTGATGAAGAAAAATCACCGACGGTAGCGGGACTGTCACTGACGCCGTTGGCCCTAAAATATCTCCTGACAGATCTTACGATGTGTTGCTCCTCGTCGAAGTCATTATCAAGACCATGGCATCGGCGAAAACCTCAACCTTTTCCTCTGCCCTGAAGACAATGCCTCCAGGGCCGTGGATGTGTGGGATTTGTTCGCGCTTTCCATTTTTGAGCAACTTCGCCACCTTCCAGAGAGGAATGCTTGAGTCAAGCATCCCCGCCAGAAAGTCGTTCCATTGCTCATTGCGGAATTCATGAAGAGCATTTCCAAGTTCATGAACAAGATTCGTCTGCGAATGTCATCAGGATGACAAGACCTTTTCGCTTGCTTAATTGCAGCCCTTTTATCAGAAATTTTCTGACGAATGTCTGCTGGCAGAAAAGGTCTGCCGTGTATTTGCGGATGAAGTTACCAGTCAGTGTGACAACCAGGTGACAATCACAGGATATTTGCCAAAAGATCAGGGTTAAAATGTCAGCCGTTAAGATCGCTAAACGCACTCGTCATCCTGAAGTCATTAGAAGAGCTATGAATCTTGTCCATACCATTAGGGACACTTTATTCTAATACCGAAATGAAGAATGGAATAGCTTCATCGAGGGGATGCTAAAGACACTGTAAAATCGCTGAAGTTGTAATGATTCGGAAAAAGGCGGGATCAATTTTTCCACAGGGCTATCGCCCCATAAGTCTTTTTATTCTGCATCTGGACTGGCCATACTCATCTAGAGAATTACTGTTTCATCTGGACACTAAATCAGAATACTGGAGCTTTATTTCTGGATATTTTAAAGGTTTTTGACACGGTGTGGCGTGCAGAGCTGCAACTGTTTTATGGTCTTCAAATCTGAACCTACTTCACAGTCCAAACGGCTTGATGGGTTTTCAAATACAAGGTGTTTTTAAATTTGTATTAGCAGTGCGAGTGACAGTGTATATACAAAGGGTACTATAAAAGTTTGGCAATAGAGCTTTATTTATTGACTTCGTTCAGAGTAATTTACTCCACATTCAATACACTTCTCCATCCGCCAAAACCAGTCCTTAAACCGGCTATGCACAGTTTCACCCGGAGTGGGGCACACTCGTTGTCCAAGCCCTCAGAAGGTCCTCATCGCTAAGAAAACCGGTTTTCCTTTAGCTTCATTTTCACATGCGGAAACATTCCAAAGTCGCAGGGAGCACGATCTGGACTGTAAGGAGGGTGCTCAACAAGTTTCAGTCCAGTAGTAAGTTTCAATACTCGGTGCAGACCTTTGGCGCGGTGAGCTGGAGCGTTTGTCATGGTGTCCATTCTTGACTTTGGCCGCAGGTTTTTCATAGACTCTTTCATTGTATTTAAAAATTGTGTACACAGTTTTGGTAAAAAATGTCTGATGTGACGTTAAATCAGCCATCGTTTGTTACTGGTTTTATTGATATTTATCGACAGTTACCAAGTTTATGGAATATTAAGTCAAAACAGTATTCAAATCGAAAAGAAAAGGCAAAGGCGTATGAGAAACTTATAAGTTATTGCAAAACCGTAGACCAAAAATGCTTCGATGGATATGGTAAAAAAGAAAATTAATAATATTAGAAGTGCCTTTCGAAAGGAGCACAAAAAAGTTCTAAAATCAAAAAGAAGTGGATCATCTACAGAAGAGCTGTATGAGCCAACTCTTTGGTATTATAAATTACTGCTTTTTACGGCTTCGCAGGAAGAACCTAGGATGTCAGTTTCAAATGATGATGAGTCGGAGTCGGAGGGTGACGATGCCAATAATGAGGTAAGGAAATTTTTTGCAAATAAAAAATCAAATAAAATCTTTTTATTTCTTGTCTAAATAAATTCTTTAATTCTACAAAATTATCAAGTAAGATACATATTATAATAGGTACATTGATTAAATAAATTTTCTTGCCAGGAAACTTTTCAACAGTATTAAAGAAATTTTTATAATTCACTCTATTTTCTTTGGCTTCACGTGAAGCATTACGACCATATCCTGGTTGTAAATTATCTAATGGTCTTTCTGCTCTCCAGTCTCCCCTTATTATATCCCCTGTGTCAATAATTTCGGTGTCAACATCATTTCTCGTTATATATGAAGTTTTAGAAACGTCTCAAAAAATTATGCAACGCGCAAGCTGCTAGTACAATTTTGTCAATTTTGTCAGGTTGCATATTAATTGGAGTATGGAATACTCGAAAGCGATTAGCTAATATACCGAACGCGTTCTCAACCGTGCGGCGCACACGGCTAAGTCTATAATTGAAAATAGATTCTTCTTTTGTTAAATTGTTTCCCGGGAAAGGTTTTAAAATATTTTCATGTAATGCAAACGCATCATCTGCCACAAAACGAAATTTAAATTATGCTTTGTTACGTCATTAGAAGGCAAATTTAGCTTTTTTTCTATAAGTTTATCGTAAAATTTTGTATATTCTAAGACCCCTCCATCAGAAACTCGCCCATTACAGCCTACATTAACATATATGAATTCGTAATCAGCATTAACAAGGGCCATGAGAACTATACTGTGATAGTCTTTGTAGTTAAAAAAATATGACCCGCTGTTGGCTGGTTTAACAATTCGCAGATGTTTACCATCAATAGATCCTCCACAATTAGGAAAGTTCCATCTGGTTTCAATATTATAAGCTATTTCTTGCCACTCCTCTGATGTTTTTGGAAACTGTAAAAAAAATTATAATATACATTTTGTATTTTGTACTTTCAGGAAGATGTCACCCAGCATGATACTCAATTTTCACCGCTTACTGAAGATGCGTTGCAAGCACCGTCTGAAATATATCAGCTATCACCACCACAAACACCGCATCAGTCATCAACCTATTCACGTCCATCAACTTCCAGATCTTCTAATAGTGCAAAAAGAAAGAAGTATGGACAGGAAGAAAGTATCCAAAGATTTGCGCTAAGTTGGACAGAGAAAATGATGAATGTGACAGTATTGGAGAAAATGTGGCCCATAAACTGCGCCGAATGGACAGCGACCAGAAAATGTATGCTGAATTATTACTTCACCGTCTTCTCTTCCTTGGTGTTCAAAAGAAATTATGCGAGGAATCTCATATATGTATAAATTCGGCACATAGCGTTTCATCTCATTATAATACTATGTTGCCAATGCAACTTCAATACAATCAACAGCCACAACCTTTAACTCCTTCTCCTTTCCAACCCATATTAACAAATCAGCAACAACAAACTTTCACTTCTTCGCAACACACATCAACTTACAATCAGCAACAAAATGTCACTCTTTCCCGACCCTCAGCAACTATTTCTGAAACACAGTACACAAATGCAGAAGGAGAAAACCTCGACATAAATATAAACTATATAAGACCTCTTGATAAAACTACCCCTGAAACAATGGAGGAAAGCGGCAACACGTCGAAACTTAAAGGATCTTTAACTGAATTGCTGGTTTTTAATCGATGAATTTACGAAACTTCAATGACTACATACTTAAAGTTTTGTTTTTTACTTGTCGACTTGTTCATTATTACCTATTGTCTATGTTTTTGACAATAGAAATCAAAAGTTTATTTAAAATTCGTTTCTATAACACAAGTTGTTCACCTTTAAGTTTTTATGTAAGGATACATTTTTCAATAAAATACGTAGTTGAAATATTATTTGAAATTTTACTAAAACATAAAAAATTACTTCAAATTACGACAAAAGCGAAAATTTTGGAATGCAAGCATAAAATACATAATTTTTAATAAGAATATTAGCGAGGTATTAGGTTAAAAAATAAATACCTAGGTACTTTTATAAATGTACGCTTCTAAAAATTTTGGCTTTCAATCTCCTTCAACTATTCCATTTCTTTCTAAAATATTATGCACTGTATTCCAAAATTTTATGAACTTACCTTCATATATTCCTTTTTCAACGCCTTGTAAATCCATTCGCAGGTTTCTGGTATAATTTTTCCTAGTGCTTGGGGAGAAATAATGGCAGAAAATTTCAAATCCTCAAATGTACGTCCAGTTGCCAGATACCGCAAAGTCACTATTAACCTTTCTTCAGCACTAATGGCTTTTCTCATTACTGTATTCTGTCGTTTTATGTGGGGTTTAACTAAAGTTAATAATTTTCTGAAAGAAGCCTCGTCCATCCTAAGATAATTTTTAAAATCTTCGCTGCTGGAATCTTTCAATCGCTTCAGGAGTTTCATATGAGATAAATTTTCACGATCTCTTAACCATTCCTTCACCCAAAAACGTTTGCCATTTTTTCCGCGTTCATTAGTTAATAGCAAAATCAAAAGTAACAAAATAAGTTTCTTTTTTCTTAACATTTTACCACTGCTTTATTGTTCTTTTGTCTACACACTACAAGCAAGAACTGCGAAACTTTTGCGACGGACTGTGGATGTATGGCAAATAATGAGGCGACCTGCAGTTCTAGGACTGTCAGGCGATGGCCTGCAGGCCGCATCGTTTGTCTATGCAGGCACTGTACCGTGTACCACTTGGCTGTGACTGTCTTCTGTGTGTCAAAAGCGACACGCACCGCAATCCCGCTCGATTTGAAAAACTACAGCTATGACTTTTTTCTTAAACAGATCGGGATTTTCTGACAGCTACTGATGTGTCCTCATCATCAAAGACCCAAACTTTATGAGCCTTGGTCGGCACATCGTAATAATAGAGCCAAGTCTCGTCCACCTGTCACGATGCTATTCACATACCGAGATTGCCCCTTATCAAACATTTCAGCATCTTACGCAAAAGGTCGGAGTCTTCTGCTCTTCCGTCAGACTATGCGGTACCCCAGAGAGAACAAAGTTCCTTACGTGTAAATTGTCATACAGGATTGAATGAATTGCTGGGCGCATGAAGGTGTAAGGTCTCCTCTATCTGTTGGTATGTCACTCTCCGGTCTCCGTCAAGCATTGTCCTCACAACAGTACTGTTATCTTCTGTTACTTTGGACTTCTCTGTACCACCTGAATATAGTCGTACGATGAAGACAATCATTCTTTAATTCTTCTAAGCACTGGTCTATGCTTAAGCCACGCGTAAAGTATATCGTAAAACTGCCCGTATCTCACTAGATGACCACGATGCCATAGTCTGCACTTTACACTGTCAATACGAGTGAACAACGAAATCAACAGACATGCTTACTGGCGACTATTGTGCACTCATGGACATGTCTCAACATGCAGTATCATGTAGCCTCCTGCGTCCGTTTGTTAAGTCGTATTGCAAAACTTTTATAGTACCTCTTGTACTAACACTTTCTTAAATCAAAATAGTGGATTTAATAATAAAAATTTGAGCCTTGAAATTCCTATTTTACGGGCTACAGCACGAACGGCTTGATACATTTTGACATATGAGGTACCTCTAGATTTTTCTTGACAGTACGAGTGACACTTAAAGATTATAAAAACAACATGACGGATTTCAACCGAAAATGTCAGCTTTAAAATTCCTATTCCATGGGCTTTCAGCTTAAGAGACATGATGGATTCTGACATTCGAAATATTTCTAGATTTGTCTGAACAGTGCGAGTCACACTGATTATATTTTAAAATATACACCAACTTTAGTATTTGTATTTCACGGGCTAAAACTCAAGCAGCTTGATAGTATTTAAAAGTGTCCTTAGATTCTTCTTGATAGCACAATTAAATCTTCATTCTTTTCTGTTACTGCAGCCAGGTTGTTTGTTTTCTTCAAAAATGTACTTGTATTTATCATTTTTTATGTCTTTTTTTTAATTATTTATTTGATAAAAAAGAAAGAATGAATAAGCGCGTGGCTTTCATTTCCTAAAGCGAAGGATATGAATCACTTTATAGTCTATTACCGACCCTCTTCTGAGATTTCCATTAATTACTTGAAACTCAAGAGGAAACGGAGCTTTATAAATATGAAATATTAATAAAGCTACATTTTGATGCCCGCGAGTTAGCCGAGGAAGTCTTGTGACAAAAATAATATTTACTTCCTATCCTAAAAGCAGTATTGTAGTCGCGGAAAATGTTACAATTATCGGAAATATATTTTCGCGCCATATGCATAGTCGCTTCTAAATGCGTTCTTTATTCTCAGGATGTCGCATTTGCCTTAAGGACTTTAGAATTGGGAATTGTGAGAAACAGAAGAGCTATCAGAAATCTCACTCTCATTCTCTATTTCTTTTCATTCTTCATTTTACTTCCTACGCCACTGGGTGAGGAAGTATTGTAACCGTGAAAAATTTCGGAAATGAGATTATGTGATTTTTTTATCTTATTATATTTATACGCTTCCAACTTCGCTAATTCCATGCACCTATTAGCCACATTTCACACATCATAGATTTACCGGTACAGTTCCCTCTAAAACTTTATTGATAAATCTCTTCAATCCGCGTACTTCTGCCTATCTAAGCTCGTACTGCGTAAGCGCAAAAACATATGCACGGTCCTTGCAGGAAACGAATCATAACTCGCTGCAGCGATGCCGCGCAGATGTGGAAAGGGACAACGTTGCCACATGGACGGTTACTACCAGTAGAACTAAGAAAGAACGTCTAGGGACTAATTATATAGGCCTGTTTGACTGACTTACGTTTAATTCATCTGTTGTACATGTTAAAACCACCGGGCAGGCAGAAGCTTAAATGCCAGGACACCGCGGCTGCTATGATGATCCCAAAGAAATTTTGCTAATCCCATGTTTGAACTGACTAGGGTTAGTAGAACTGGGAAAAACCTCCTCGTGTAGATTGTTCCTCAATCTCGACACCCTCAGAATAGAGGAGCGGTCGTAACGGTCAGTTCTGGATGTATAAAGTTGGACACGGCTAGGTGGAAGCCCGAAGTCAGGCAGGTCTGACTGATAGGCACATCGCGCGGCGGCTTCATGGAGGAGAGTCCAATATAGGATTCTTGGGCTTTACTGTCTAGGAATGTTTATCATGGAGGCTGGGAAGCCCAAGATGATGAACAATTAAGACGGCGAATTTACGAAAAACTGAGAGAAATTGATCTGAATTCCGTCCAGTACCTCATGAGAGACATTCAAAGAAAGTTGCGTCTGGTAGAGCATAATGGACCATTCCACATAATTCGATAGTATGGTTTAGTTAAGTATTGAATTGAAATTCACGATTAACTAGTTAGTGTTTAAGTAAATTTCTTTATTAAAAAAATCCGATAAATATTTTGTGCCAAAACTTTTAGGATATACGTTAGTTCAGAAGCTCGCGCTTTATGCAGCTCCTCATCACTTTCCCTATAACATAAAGCAGAGCTATAGGCTTGTAGTTGTAAGGGTCGCTCTTAGATCCCTTTTTTAGAATAGGTTGGACATGCGAAAATTGACAGTTTTCTAGGAAGATCCCTGGAAGAAACTCGAAAGAACTGGAGCAAGCTCCGCTTCACAGCTCTATAATACCACGGCATGAATCAAGTCCGGACCAAAAAGCTTTGTTGATGTCGAGCGACAAGAGCACCCACCCTTCTTATGGTCTTATGCATCAATCTTACTTCCTGCATAGCGTAGGAATCCTTTTGAATCGACGGCACTCGGGTGTTTAGGGGGACTTCCATGGTCGAGCTGGCAAGCACTTTCGCCTTAGCCTTCGACTCAGTTACAATCGTTCCATCCTGATATATATATAGGTGGTGAAGGTCTACTCCGTGAGATGTTCCTACCAATCCTTCCAAGGTGCTTGGCCAGCGTCCAGGAAGACCGACTCGAATTGCGCTGCGACATTATCCTGTGCGTAACTTTTATGTGCTGGTCTTTGGTCCTCCGGATCGCTTCGTTATAGGTACTTATTTCTGGACTCGACGGCGGTTTGTCTGTTCTCTTCAGAACGTTCTGTGTGCCTTGATCTCTTGCTGACTAGCAGTGTCGCACGATTTGTGAGTCAGCCGTTAGACCCTGATTTAGGCACTTTCTCTGTATGAGGGATATGTTCCTCCATCCCAACGTGGATAACGCATCCGCGTCAGCGAAGCAAACATCTCTCTCTCTCTCTTTCTCTCTCTCTCTTTCTCTCTCTCTCTCTCTCTCTCTCTCTCTCTCTCCAGGGAAAATTGGAGAAAAACGTCTCTGAAGCGGTCA